GATAATAAAAATAACGAATTGTATGTAAAAACAACCTCATCATAAGAATTCAAGAAATTAAGAAGACCCGTTACAGAACAGACGGCTAACGTCCACCTGTCATTCCCACGTCGTGAAGATGCTGCTAAAAACCGAATACTACCATTTACATACATCTTTCTTTCTGTAATTGTCGCACCTAAAACTCCGAAAGTATATATCCTACTTCAGTCATAATATTTTCTGACAAGAAAAAAAGAATTAATTTTAACCCATGAAAAGCCTTTCTTTATTTCAGGCAATTTATTTAGAATTGCATTATCACAAATGTTTAGGTTTCAGTGCGCTGCATGACCAACAACATTTGTGGTTTGAAATTGTGAGATGAAACATTAACAGATATCACAGTTAAATGATTTTCTGTCTGAAATATTTACATATTATTTGGAGCGAAAAAATCCACAATGTAATGCTGTAATGAATAAATAAAAGAAGTAACCTTGTTCATTTAACACCTGAAATGTGCCATTGTCGAATCCCAAAATAATTTCGCGCGAATCGGGAGCCCATACACCGCAAGTGACGGTAGTGGGAAATGAACTAGACCATATCCTCTGACCTGTGGCAGAACCAATTAAAACAAAATTATCTTCATAACAAATAAGCGCTGATGAACCACTCGGGCTCCAGTTTACACCGCGAACCTAAAACTACTACGATCACTTTTCAGGTCGTTTACAATTTTGATGTTAATTTTATCAGAATACAAAAATTTTCTAAAATATACATCACTGAATATTAACTGTCTTATATAACTATTTTATTATATATCTCAACTATCTTACTAAATATTTAATCAAACTAGTTTAACCTTAATACCACGATCGTTTACCAATTCTACACTCCATCTTTCTTCGTTCGGTACCCAAACATAAATTATTCCCGAATTATCGCAGCTCGCTAATTTCATCTGCTCCTTGTTCCATGCTACTATATTCACCGCCGTATGGTGACCGCGAAGATTAAAGTTAACTCTCTTGTTATCATCTCGTATTGGGCAAGCTTCCGTTGCTGTTACTCCCACTGCTCCTGATTCTGATCCTGAAAAAAAAAAAAAAAAAAAACAACTTACAACATTGCAGAACGCGTAGTATGTTAAAAAATATGACTGAAAGTTTATTCCCGCTAAAAAAAATATTAGGTCATTCAGAATCGTAGGTTAAATAATGTTGATATGCTTGATATTTAGAACAATGTATTATCAAAGCACTGTGAATACAAAAACTGAAAGGGCTTACCGGTAGCCAAGAGGCCAGTGTTGGCATTGTTGCCGTTAGGTATCCAATTCAAACAAGTAATGCTAGAACCAACAACACAACCAGGCCAGTCGTCACTTTCCCAAATGATCTTCATACACTGTACGTATGCGTGGTTCACTTTTTCTTGCAATAGACCTTTTGATGATTATTTATTCAATCATACAAATAGCCTTTTGTGATACGTTGAAATACTCGACGGGAAGTAGGAAAGTATAATAAATTTCCTAATTAGTGGAATAATAGGTGATCAGAGCGTCAAGGTACTTCATCTGAACAAAGCAATGGCACTTCATTATCAGGATAATGTATTCTTTGAGGCAGTGATACTATTTCCTGCGTAAAGGATAATAGGACATAAAAGATAAAGTTCTAAAAGCAACATATTAACTTCCGGTCTGACATTTATACCGCAGAATGCAGCGACTGTAGTCGGTCCAGAAGCAAAGAACTAACGGCCATTGTGAAAATTTTGAAATTACTTGAAAAACTTTGACTTATTGGTGCTCGTTACTTAATTTGAGGTGCAAGTTAACTTATAGTTCTTCAGAAGAAATGATGGATCCTCATAATCCCGGAAATATGTCAGTGCTTAATGACCACAGACATTCTTTTACAAATTAATGCAGATAGCAAAAGCATGTGTTTTTTAATACTTAACTTTATCAAACTTCTTACAGATTCTAAAAGCGCTACCTTATCTTTCTCTATATTTTCAATAATCACTTGACTAAATGCCTCTAGTGGATGACAGTAATTGAGAAATTTATTGCAAAACAAGACAAGTTTTTATCTGACACTGCAACAGAAGCGTGAATGAAAGAGAAATAAATCAATGTGAACAGAGAAAAAATAAAAAGTGAGAGCTAAATAAAAGCAAATAAATATCCTAAATATTTATCTCGCTGATAAATGGAGAAGGCAACATTCTTAATTAGCTAAAATTCCGATATGATCTCAGTGGTAAGATGTATAAACAAAAACGAAACAGAGACAGACAAACTACACATAACATGCGTCAAAAGAAAATGAAAATAAATGGGTAGAAGCAAAATATTCCAATAAAATTCTAAAATTAGTAACAGTTTGAGAGGGGCAAGTTAGTATGACAGAACAAAAGGCGGCATGGCTGTTTGTGACATGAAAGTAATGGATACACTAAACCTGTTTTATAATTTATCAATGCGCTTCCAACTGGCAGTTGTCAACCATGTTTATTTGCAGATGACATTCCCATCGTCTCTTTCAGTATTTATGCAAAACATATTGTGTCGCCAGGTGAGGTAATAATTCATTTATTTTTTTATACAGCAGAAAGAAACATTCTTCTACCGATCATTTTTCTTCCTGCTCTTCCTGCACTCTAGAGGATGGCAATAATCTATTGTACGAGTCTTTCAGGTTAAAACAGAGACAATTATTGAAGTCTAGAAAGCAGAAAGGTATGTTATTTAAATTTCGAGCAGAATATCCTTCAAGCGATGATTAAGATTCTTGAACTGCCAAATAAGTCAGAAAACTGATTTCCGATTGCCTCCCAGCCGAAAATTCTATCAAATGCTGAACCATAGTAACTAGTTCTTTATTAACTTCTCGTCTTTATCTACATTCACTTGAATTCAATTTCAGTTCATCTTTTATCGAAATTATAGGTCAGTAGAAGGAACTAGATTTGTCAGCTTCTGAAATTACAAGATTAGAATTTGAATTGCTGATAAGAGTGATTTGTAAGATCAGATAAGTTTGGCGACATAAATCACATGGAACTTATGACGACCTGAAATGACTCCTTATCCGGATGATTTATCACAATGACTAAGAAGAACGAAAATGGCCTTTGTTTTTTAAGTAATATCTATTGATCCCAACCAAAAAGGAAGATAATCAGTTTGTTGAAAGATCAGTATCACTAATTTTCGTGACTATAAACAGTAGCTATGACTAGATCAACAATCATGTAGAGTACAATTCTTTGTCCTATTCAATCATAATAATGACAGTAACAGTCCCATTATAAGTAAATTACAACTGCCATTATAATGAATATTGCCGCCAATATCGACAATTATAAAAGCAGCGAAATTTCAAATTCAGATCATTACGGAATAGTTACCACAGACAACCAACACATCATGTAACTTTTAAGTAAAATTTAAAAAAAAGATCATGTTGCCAAAGATACTTGGAAAGTTTACCAATGTATTAATTTATGTATTAATTTACTACGAATAAACTTTATTAATTATTCCGTCATCAGTTTCACCACTATCAAAACTAAAGTCTTACCATAACTGCGTCAACTGTAGTGTAACTAAATAAATGCTGTAATTTTTTTTTTTTTTTTTGTATCACATTTCAAAGCTATTACGTAACAAATTTGGTTCGAGATTATGTCAAGGTATGGACTGCACAAATTACCTAGACTGAATAAATTTTATTAGATCTCGTAAAACACTGGTCGGGACTAAGGATTCCTATGACTGCCTAAAATCCCATGTGCTGTTTCACCGTGAGCTTCGAAAATGAAATATCAAATCAGACATAGTTGAAAGCGATGACCATTTGCAAATCAGGTAGCGAACAACTCGAGTACATCCCTCAACTTAATATACATAACTCACTAGGGCAGTTTTTACATTCACTTAAATTCCTCTTTTCTACAATTATCATCTTGAAAACCCCTATCAACTTTAAAACAAATAACATGGAGAGCCCATTCTTTAACATTTCACACACTTAACAAGTTCAGATATCATCATTTCAAAAAGCTTCAAATCGCAGATCTGAGTCTTCCATAATATACAATGAATGTTTCCATACATTTAACATTTTTTCATTTAAAATAGCATGAAGGACACAAATATTCATTAGGAAGTGGTAGCAAGCACATCAAGTATAATAAACCGATCTACCTTGATAAACATACATAACCGAAACATAAGACGAAATGTAAGACATGGCTTCCCCAAATCATGCTTTCCTACCACAGTGAGATCGTTTATTATAAACCCAATATGCGGACAAAGCATCAAAGTTTTTGCAACAGCGGATTTAAATAGACAGTATTACCTAAATAAACATATAAAAAATACCAGATTTAAACATCATATATATAGGCAATAAATTCAAAATATGACGGAGAAAACAAGAAGTAACGGTCTCTGTTACTGCCGCACTTTGGGCTTAGATAGATAGAGAAAAAATTATAGGCATTTAAATTTACACTTTGTCGAGCATAATTTATATTCAAACGCACTGCTATTTGGTATCAAGCATTCTTTCGTCCAAACTCAATGCGACAAGTATCAGAGGTAAAATAAAGTTAAAATCCATTCTTTACTGATCAGTAAAATCAGCCGAATTTTGTTGCAAAATCATTACACAGAGAAAAAAGGTCAGAAATAAAACAAATAAAATAAGTTCACAGTCTAATCGAATTAGCAACTAGTTACGAAAGTGTCAGGGCGTTAAATGACTATCAACAATGTGTCATGTAAAGTCACAAAATGACAAGTGAAAAATTCTTGCAAATGAACACACTTCCGCTTTAATTTATAAAATAAACATTTAAAACTGTATTTTTCCAGCTTTGGAAAACAGAATTCTACCAAATTATTTAATGAGAGAAAAATACATAAATTTAAAGATTCTCAAAGGAAACGCAATATATAATGAAGTAAAGTACAACCCAAAAAAAAAAGTGCATTAATATCGCCCACTTTGCGTTGCGTGATTCATTGCTTGTAGAGTAGCTGCTGATGCAGCTGCTCGGGCTGCTCCTGACACAGCCTAAATTAAACAGACGTTATGAAAGAACTATCCATTTCTCTTTTATCATTAAGATTTCAATTTCTGGAAAAACATATAGTCTATGTATGTTGTTTGAATAACATCAGTTTCGTGTAACGTAGACTATAACTTAGTAGCTTTTACAGTGGTAGAAGTGCGCAAATTATGAGTTTTCAATGCTATTATTTCAAACAATTTTTCAAAAAAAAAACACAATAATTAAAAACAAGTCCCCTCTGCATAAAAAAAAAGCATTTGTAAGGTCAGTTTATCTAAATCTAATTACAATGTATTTTTGAGAAAGTTAACAATCCTTCGAACTTATGAGACAATAGTCCATCCGCATGAACATAAGAAAATTTATGATTCTGCGTCAGTTTTTTTTTTTTTTTTTTTCATATCTCTAGAGTGTTAGCTATGAGAGTTGTGAGAGCGCACTTAGTATATAGAAATAATACATATAAAAGGTACTTAGTACATATAAACCAACAAGAACCTGCTGAACATTTCGATCGGCCATAACACCATCAGAGAATTCTTTGCGTGCTTTGTCCAAACTAAAGCCAGCACCACGATAGAAACGATGAACTCTGAACAATGCAAACACCATTCCAAGAAATGAAACCGTGAATGCGATCGCTGATGTAGTCATTATAAGGGATGCAAATATGTTATGGCTGGAATGATGTATAAGGAGAAGGAAAGAAAGAAAAGTTAACATCACATCTTATTTTTTTCAAACATAGCTATCATAAGCTTAATCTCATTTAAATAAATTTTTAGCTTACAAATATATGGAATGTTAGGAAGCTAGAAAAGTAAAGTGACCTTCATATTTACTTCTAGAAAAAAAATTGTTAGCTCTGCATCGAAATGAAGCACTGGGAAAAATTAACCAAAATATGAAAATTTACTGGAACGTATTAATAGCATTAATCCAACCACAAGCATACTGCGACAGGCCAAGCGCTTGCACCAATGTGAATATTGAATGAAAAAAAAGGACAAGGAAAAACAGCATGAAATTGAATGAGCTGTCATTCCTGAAATAAAGCAAACTCAAGATTTTACTCATTTACTTCATTATCTTAACGTAAAACTGTAGTTGTGAATAGGGAAGAGAACTGGCCGAAGCCAAATACGCAACTACATCAAAACACAATGCACTAATACAAACATTCTTCTATTTGTTTTTACTAATTCTGGATTTATTCAAAAAGGAATTCTATTTGCTCACTATTTCATGTTTAATTAAGGATTTCAAACAGATGGAAGATAATATAAAAACCTGAAAGCTTTGTAGACAGGACGAAACCAAAACAGAAATGAACAGGAGGACAGCAACAAAATCTGTATAATAGCAAGAACCAATATGCCAATAGGTCCACTACCAAAAATAACGTAAAAAAAAGAGGCAACGACATTAATTGCCAAAGCCAACACATAACTCAAGAAAACATAATAAACTAAAGTAACCGTGCGTTGAAACTGTACTGGAATCTCTACTTCGATATCCTGAAAAGAAATAAAAGGCAAGTCTCACCCTTTTTCCATATTTAACTTTAAGTGTATAGAGTTGAGATGTTTCGCATATAATCAAATATAACTATATAATCAAAAACATATAATCAAATATAAAATATGAAATGCTAATCCTAAAGAATAGGTGAAGGATTAGCATTTCATTTAATGAGCTGAAACCGAACATAAATCCTTTTTCATTAATCACATAATCTTCTCAAAAAAAAAAAAAAAACTCTGAACAAAATACACTATTACACTAACTCAGCAAGCACTATTACACTAACTCAGCAAGCAATTAACGAAATGACGTGCAATTACACGTTGCTAAGGCTTAAAAGAACTTTGTAATCCAAGAAAAGAAGTTTATCTCATATTTTCATGGACATGCATCTCAATGATACCTGATAAAAACATGGCTCCAATGGGACAAAAGATGGAAGTGGTGGCCAATTATGAGACCGTGTGTTTCCTGTAGAAGCATTATGACCAGTTTGCTGTTGTCGTTCTAATTCTTGCTCTCTCCTACGTAATTCCTGGGCTTTTCGTTCTAGTTCTTCCTGACGTCGAAATAGTTCATCACTGCTCATTACTGGTGCTGACACTTTTGTTGCAGCTGTTCCAGCTGCAGGCTAAAACTCAAAACATTACTGACATGGCAGGTAAAGCAGAAACCTAAAAAAAATAGCAATTGAATCCACCTTATTCCCAAGTCAACTTGGCCACTATTCCCCGCAGTTTCTTTCCATTATAATTTCAGCGTGCTAATACGAGAATGAATTGTATCTTTCCCTTCCGTATGGCAACATTTCACCATCGAAATCACGGTAGCATCATAACAGAGTATTACTCTCTTTACTAATGACGGGTATTTAGAATAGTTGCCCATAAATGCAATTCATCACTAATTAATCTTCTAGATCAATTCTGAGTAATTTATTATCTAAGCAGTCAAGATTAATCAGGCGACAAATTTTGGAACTTTTGTTAAAATGTCGAGTTCTTATATAAATAATAAAATGGGAAACTGAGGAAAGCACAGCATGTTCAAAATTAAAACACTATACATTGCCTTTATCGCTCTGATTGTTACTCTGTTTCTGTGATCTTGTTTTTGTAAACAATAAACATAATGCGAATATTTATTGGAATTATTAGACTTGCTATACATAATGCTTCAAAGAACTATATCTGTGTTTTGAACTAAAAGTTCGACTGACCATGTCCATATCATGAAAAACGTTCAGGATATATAAGGAAATATATTTGGGCACGACCAGTAACAGTCTTCCTTACCGTTCGAAGTGACATATATAAATTTTCCTAAAATCCACTAAATTGGAGCAATTACGGCTTCACTCTCACTCTAAGCAGTAGTCCTTTTTTCGTAAATTTCATGAAGTAATTCCTGTAAATCTCTTTAACTATTCCAAATAATTACCTAAATTGTTACAAGATACATTAAAAGTTCGCACTGTTAAGGTTTTGTCAATATATATTTTTTAAGTCGGATAACAAAAAAGTAGTGTCAACTTTTATGGATAAAGAAGGAGTTAAATGAGACCAAGAGGGATGCACACAAAATAAGACCTACATACAAAATATCGATTAATCAATAATGCATTGGGAAAAGATCTGAATTAAATATAATTCGGGCACATTTTATTCAAATTGTACTAGTAGTTCAGAAAGCAACTTGACCCTATATCATGCCTACAGAGATCTTTTTTTAAAGTTGAACAAAGAAAAGTGGAAAAAAATATATAACTGACCAAAAACCTTTTTCAATGTGTCATTCAAAAAATGTACATGGTTACGACAACGATAGTCACGCAAATTACATACTGTGATAAGTAGATTTAACTTAACTTGATCTGGAATAATTTGAAGTCGAATGATTTGAAAATTTAGTGCACACACTCTTGCAATTTGAAGTCAAAACTAATGCACACAATTTTTAGTAAATATTTTATTTACCTGTTTGAGAGGCCTTGGATGAGCAGAGAGAGCATTTTGAGCAAACGGATTGAAATCTTCGTTGGAATCTACTATCCCTTGGTCGACAACTTGCTGCACACTCGGATCCTACGTAGAAACTTTTTGATAACTATCATTTTGAAAAAACTATTTAAGTGAACCTGCTTAATACTGTGTGTGTAGGCTCCTAAGTCGTTAGGGGCAAAGAGATAGCCAATTCTCAAATAAAATGTTATGAAGAGAATGCGGCAGAATGAAACGCATCGAAATATTCTATGAAATGTATTAATTTGATTTCTATTTATACCTCCTTTAAAAAAAATGAAGAAACAAGTGAGTATCTGCAGTTATTACTAAGCAAATGTCTGAACTTACTGGTAAATGAATTAACTAAATTTCTCAGGCGAAAAATTTGCGCCTTTAAAATTGAAGCTTCGTCAACATACCGCAAATGGATCTGCAAATGGATTCGAGTTTAAACCTGCCATCAGTTAGTAATGCTTTCGTTTGACACTATGCACTATGCACTGCAATACTAAATCAGTTATTCTGCAAAAAAATATATAAATAAATATTTTACCCGGATTTTGAATAATTAATTATTCATCGCACAATAAAAAAATAATAATAATAAAAGCAGACAGTAATATATACAAACACAAAGATACATAGGAAGTTTCATTAAGAAAAGTCATATGTATTGATGGTTACTACAACAGCTGTGAGTGAACCGAACCCACACATCCCGTACTAAACCAGTCACTGATTTGTCTCATACAACGCTCTTATTATAAAACCCTCAGGCAGGGCCAGCACAGAACCACCAACAAACCAACATCATTTCATCACTTCACCGTGCCAACAAGCACGTCGCGACATGCAAATGTTTGTGTCATCAGAAGTAACTGCCATGTATAATATGTGACTTCGGTACTTGACAGTTAATTTCGTTGTACATAATACTGATAGGTGTTATCTGCAACGTTGTTCGAAAATATCTCAAGTTAAAAAGCGGGGAATTATAAATAATTCTGTTAGTGGTCTTTTTTTGACCGGCATGTCTCGGATATATTTTCCCTTTTTATTGGGAACCTTTTTGATCAGTACTTATATATCTATTGTCTTGTACTTTTTTATTTCCAGTTGATCGTTTCATTGCCACTACTGATAAGTCTAGTGTAGCGTTGGTTTATACTAACTATCCCTATCGAGCTGTCCCAGACCCATCAGTCAGTTCCGGTCACTTATTTTGAATAATTTTCCCAGTTTTCTCACCTATTACGCGAAGACTCTATAGTAAGTACGGTATAGTGAATATGGATTTGACCACTGAAATGCCAGTGGTCGAATTGTTGATAATTTAATGCTGAGAGAAGGAATATTGCAATCTCAGTCGTGATGATGTGCCATTTTACAGTTGAGACATATATCTTGCTTTGCCGAAAATGGTACGACATAAGTTAAATTAATCTAGATTCGATACTGTTCGAGACTGCGGATCGTGCAGTGGGGTGAAGTATGAGAATAACAATATTATGTTTTTATTTTCTGAGAATGAAATATTAGTAATTAATGTGTTATCAAATGTAAGTAAACATTATACATTGGAACATACAGGATTACTGAAATTTTTATCTATGCTTCAAATATTTCTAAGTGCTCTATCACTCTTCATTAAATGCAGTATTATTGTAAAATTTAATAGACTTTTGAGGGCTAATGAGCACAACTGAATGTATGTAGAATGGTACATGACTTATATAAAATTAGTATTATATCACACATCTGTATCGAATGAAACTTTGACACTTCTAAATTTCATTTGTGTTGAATCAAATATCATAGAAGTAGTCTGGTGCTTCGTCCATACCTCTCTTTCCGAACTGTAGTGGTCGAAAGCTTTTCTTCCCAAACTGTAATGGTCGATGACCATCTCGTTTACCGAACTGCAAAAGTTCTATTATAGTGTTGGAATATTATATATATATGTCGTATCCTTGCACAACCAATTTTGATTTAACACTTCCGGAAAAAGTATTGTTTATTCTTATTTTTCTTCTTTAAGAAAGTAGATGAAATTGATTAGGAAAAGATTAAGGAATTATTTCTTCCAAAACTAAATTAACTTTGAACTAATTTAATATCACTCTTATTGGAAAAAATGATTTCATAAGATATTAACCGGGTCCAATGAGGGAATTTGCCTAATAAATTTCATTCTTTCAGAAGAGGATGAGATGCATTAGATTTAAGCTTGTCACACTGTTTAGGCTAATTTTGCCACCAGTTTCTGAGTGATTAATATGGACTGATACCACTTAAATTTTTAAAAAATTTATACCATGTTGTAAAGTTCACTTTTTAACAAATAAAACAGTTTTACTTGTTTTCATATCAAAACTTAGTTGCTTAAAAGGTATTTATAGGAATATTATTCGGTTATTTACTAATCGATTTGTTGTATGACAGTCAGTCTGAATGGAGATATAATCTCAAATGCGACCAAATGGAAATGTATAACTCTGTCTATCATATAGAACATTTAGAGGAGATCGAAAATATGCTAGTACAATAAAGTAACGTTAATGAAAGCAATGAAAAGTATCCTTGCCAAAACCATTTTTCAAAAATGACTTGGCTAGACGAGATGATGAGACAGATAGTACGTACAGCCTAAACATAACTCTTGGGAAGAAGGAAAGGTGTTGCAAAATTATTTGAAAGTTATAACTGACTTTGCCTTGTTGATATTCAATTTTCAGTTTTCAAATATTTTACTTTTTCTATTTTTATTTTAAAGAGAAAGGTTTCCTGATCTCATTTTCCTAATGGAGTTGTTGTGATTTTCATTCTAAAAATTTCAGAACCATCGTAGATGTTAAAGCTACATTGAAAATTTCCAAATAAAGGTATATTGAGAAATAAAAATGAATTGTTTGATTAAGCTCACTAGTCAAAAATGAGAATTTTGAAACCACAAACATTTGCTCAGATTGCAGGCTGAATAAAAGATGGAATAAAGGAATGGCATTGGTAATTAATTTGTAATTAGAGCTCTAAACTTCTGTAGTGTTTTTAATTTGGCTAAGAAAAATATCTTCAAAGATTATGCTTAATGTTCAAATTTGTTGGAATGCTTCCTATAATAATCCGTGGTATGTAAATGACAGGAGCGAACTTTCGTGACGTTTTTTTTCAATATACCTACTTATTTATTCATCTCCGATATCTTTAATATCTCGTATGCATTCACATGGAATGATGATAGATAATAAGCGTACTGTGCGATCTCTGAAGATACGATAAGGTTATAATAATGTCATTATAATAGTTTCTTTGCTCTTTTTAAAAGTTATTTTAAAAAACTCCTTGTTTCCTGGACGAAATTTCAGTTTACTGCAATGCATATTTCGTTAACTATGTTTTCTCACTTCTTTCTCACTTTTTTTTTTTTGTAATTAGTGAAAAGGATGCGAAATTTCCTAATGCATTCAAAATGAATTCCTAATCTGAGGGTTTCTGGTGTAGCCTGATAGCCAACTTTATTTATAAGCAAAGAAATTTTTTTAGGAATCTATCTGGCGTTCTGTGTATGAGAATTTTAATAAGAACGGTGATGTTTGAGATTCTTAAAGAACAAGAACAATTTATGCGATTAATTCTTTCTCTGGGTCAAAAGGCTCATTTGTACGTAATAATTTGATAGCAAGATTGAAACGAGAAGTATGAGAAGAAAAGAAAAGTTTCTCCTGATAAATATATCTCCAAGAAATTACATCTACTCTCACTTCATGTGAATCTTTTGATACTATCAAGCAGTGATTCTTCTTTAACCTTAAGTAAACCTTAAGTAAACTTTTGTTTTTTTTTTTTTAACCTTAAGTAAACTTTTGTTTTTTTTTTTTTAAAAAAAAAAACAATTCATTGAATTTCTTGTTTTAGGAATTCACAAACCAAGTACTTTTTAAAATACTGTGTAGAAATATTGACAATAGTGGTCGAAATAATGAAACTGTAAGTTGCATTTTAAAATAGTGGCTAAATTCAATTCGGTTTAAAAAAGAGCGAACTATTGAAAACAGAACTAACCTGCAATGGTCGGTAGTCGCGATCTTGCCTGTCGAATCGCTCAGATTGTAAACTGCAATTCACAGCAATGCTGATAAAACCAAGAATGAAGAGTATTGAAGTGATCCAGGAACGCAGCATTTCCCAAGACGAGATCTTTTGACCAGCGGATATACGCCAAATATGCTACAACAACAATGACTTACTTTTTGTAGTTAAATCACGCGAAAATGGATGCCACACTAAGCGAATACACCAAAGTTAACTGCTGATAATCAGATCTAAAACTCTATTATAGTAGTAATGTGGAACCTGACTGGCAGATAAATTTATTTTACGAGTCTCATGAGAATCAGACCTCATTATCAGCCTTTGGAATGTCATTTCATTAGTTCTGAGGCCTGTCGTATCACACCTACAAAACAGTGTAACTTGCAGGAGAATAGCAGCAAATGCAATATTCAGCAATTAAAGCAGTTCTCTCATTCAATTTAATTCACAACGAGCGGGCAAACAAAACACATTTTTGCAATTCCCAATTAATTAGTAGCATGAAATCACATGGGCTAATTTTATATATAGATATAATTGATTTTAATTCCGCGTATAAATGAATCATCAATCATTTATTAAAAAACTGAAAGACTGAAAATAAGCAAGTAATATGATTTCTTGAAGTTGCTAACGAACAAAGAAATATTTTGGAACTGTTAGCTTAGGCTTATTGATTGATGAAACCATTTGTTATTAGCGCACTAAATTTTAGCGTTAAATTAGGTTATTTATGGTTATAAATTCTTGATAGATAGCAATTCCAGACTCATACAAATTCATCAGTTACATTCTTCATCGTCACAAGTTTGTGAAAAAAATATTTTCCTGGCAAATCGAAATTTTCGTAAATTATTTTACAATTCTAAAAAAAATTTGCTATAGAAAGAAAATGGATGCCTGTTTTCGTAATCAAATGGGTGATGTCAAACAAAAAAGGGTTAATTGTTGGAAAGAACGTCCTGTCCATTAATGTAATCCGATGATGAGAATAGAAAATTGAATAATTCTGTTCAATCTGGAATTAAAGTGGAAAAACATTGGATTCTATGAGACTAAACTTGCAATAACTTTAAAGTTTATGACGCATTATTGTTGATGACCAACCCCGTCCTACCACACACAGCCATCTATTTTAGGTTAATGTTAATATTGAATTGTAAGTCAGTGTCTGAAAGATCTTGAATTAATCAAGTGTTGAGTTTAAGAGAAGAGTGAGAGTTGTAAAATAAATGAAAGTAACTCTCGAAGAGTTAATGGCTTAACAACTGCACACTCTGCTGTTACCTTTTTAAGTATGCTTTTCTTTTTCTATAGTGTCTTCGTCTTCCTAAATTTCAAAGGTAATAGATTTTGTCTCGGTGAAATTGATCATAAAATTTATTTCTTTTATTCTGCATTGATGTGTTGTTTAGGAAGGAAGCATTGAATAGCTAGAAAACAAGCGGGAATTCACAAAAATACTTATTTTATTATTAATTGAAATTATTGCATGCTATGGAAGTGTGTTTTCTCCACCTCTTTTGCATATCTTTAACCACAAAAAGATGATTTGAACCCAATATGAAGAGAGTCTACATTTTATTAGTGCAAAAAGACTGAATTTTGATAGATGCTCTATTTACAGTGAATAATTCATACAATGATATTTTCGCATGGCACCATTTTTTAATAAATACATAATACGTCGGGAACAAGTAAACCATTATTAAAATCTCGAATCTATTTTAGAAGTATGTGCAAAAAAAAAAAATTTGACACCGTTTTTTTTCTTTCGTCGGATGACGCTTGTTCGATCATTTTTCAATTTCCTTGGACGAAATTATGAATCTGCCTTATTTTTCTCGAATTGAACAATTTTTAAATGCAGGAATTATGTCAGAGGTGGCAACTAGCAGTAATATAAATGATAGCCTTTAGCATTATAATTTAGCAATTCTTCAAGATCTTCGAGAATTAAGTTAACTACCAGTGGTAATTCTGAAAATCCTTAGTTCTTAGAACTCGAAAAAAAACTTTTTGCCGGCATAGTTATCAAATGTGGATTTTAATCAAAGATTTTATACCTAATCAGAATATTTTTCTTGTGAATTTTTTTTTTCTTGATTTCAGGAAGTACGAGTGTGAAAAAGTAAACCATTAACTCTTAGCTCTTAGTCTTTGGTTATAATTTAGGATCTAAGAAATAAAGCTCGAGAATCTTGTGTGAAACACGTGATAGTCATTTTAATGTGTAAAAAATGTAGCACATAATTTCCCATTGATGTGAAAACCAGAAAATTCTTTTCTCTTATTTAGTATGAGCGCAAATGCATTTAGAATTAGTGTTTCAAGTTCTGTCAAGTATTTGCTAGCAAATAGTTGAAATGGTGATAAGAATCCTTTGGGAACATTGGATAGATTGCACATTTCCACATTTCGAATTTGTATAGGCATGAAATTGTTTAAACTCAATTTGGCATACAAAGTTTACTAATTTTGATTCTTATTATCAAGCTCCAGTAATGCATGCTCCCTGAATCTCAGTGTAACGATGCTTTGGGTTAATGGTTTAAACAAAATCTTAGTGGTAAAACTGATGAACATATTTGACAATGCAAATGTCCACCTAAACAAAAAAGTAAAAACAATGGCTTTTGTTTAAAAATTTCTTTTAAACCCTTGCAGAGATGCTTTATGAAAAAGATTCCTACAGTCATTGAACTGATTCCACTGGGCAAGTTTATAGAACAGGTTCCTACTTTCACTAAAATTTCGGGATTGATTTCTGTTGTTCATTTCTATTGCTAAAATAAATTTAGATCTTATCTTTTTCATTCTATACAACTAGCTGTTTCTATTTACAATGAAATATTCATCATCGATGTATCTTGCCCAGCACTTCATTACTGATACAGCCAGTTGGAAGTGTTCGAAATTGCATCAGAAAAATTGAAAAAAAAAAAAAAAGAACTTCTTTTTCTTGAATGAATTTAATTCTAAAAAAGCTGAAATTTCAAACAGTATTGTAGAACATAAGAGCTTTTTTCCATTTTTTTTAATGACCTAAAAGAAACAAAACGGAATATCATTTATTTTCCGAGAGTAATGGTTTAATTGTAGAAATAAATAAGCTTCAAATAAATATAAATTGAAATCATTAGTCAGCCAGCGTTGGTTGAATGGTCATGTATTATTTATCACGGTATAGTCAGACCTGTTTATATCATATTGTTACCATGTGTCCAATATTTTTAATGCACATCTGCATATGAAGTAAAATTTCCATATGTCATTATATGGTATATAATAATGAATTAATGATAATCATATCATATGAAATTATGACACACTGCTTAATAGCATTAGTCATTAACGGGGAATTATAATATTTAATTGAAAGTAGTGATATTCTTCTGCTGTAAGGATTTTGTTGACTTCATACGGTTTTATTGTTAATATATAGGAAATAATTGGATCGATGCACTTCAATTTACTCAGCTAATGCTAAAAAGACCAGTTTTTGAGGATTGTATGTGAATGCTTGAAAAGAACTTGGCACTATCTCCAAAAGAATCTAAGAACGTCACTTCTACTTTCATTATCAACTAGTGAATTATTGAATGATTGTATTTGAATAAAAAATGGAACAAATGGAACAAGTCTTACCATATATATAAAATTTATATGCATAGGTGTCACTTTGTCATGCAGTGGGGTTCTTCATCTGATGTACCGGTATTTTTGCATTTTTCTAGATGCATAAGGAGAGGACAAACAGATAAGCAATAACTGATTATTGCTAAAGCAAAATACTTTATTCTCCTTAATCATGAAAAGCAAATTATGGTTGAATGCACTGGATAAAAAGCTGTAGTTCTGAAACAACATTTCTTCTGTCTGATTGAGGACTTTAGAAATTCAGAGTCTGAAATAAATTTTTAAATCGAAACTAACAAACAGATACGTCAACAAGGAATAATTATCGTGTTAATAACAAAATGCAGGTGCTTATAACTCAAATTATTGCTAATTGTGGTCGTTAAGGAATGTAGTACCAGAAATACTCAACTTTAGTTTTCAAATAAATTACAAATTGTGAATGTCTATAATTACATACATAGATATAGACGGGACAATATTTGAAAGTATAAAATCTGTGGCAAAGGTCATGTTAAAAATGCAGTTCCGTAATCAGTATTTGAAATTAAAGGTAGCTAAAATTTTGAAAATAATAACTAGAAAACAGTTTTGCTTGACACTTTGAGAAACCATTCTAACTATATAAAATAGGCTAGCCTTACACTTTGAGAAACCATTCTAACTATATAAAATAGGCTAGCCTTACACTTTGAGAAACCATTCTAACTATATAAAATAGGCTAGCCTTACACTTTGAGAAACCATTCTAACTATATAAAATAGGCTAGCCTTAACCAAAAAAACTAATTTGTTTTATTAATTTTCTTAAGGAAAGTTATAAAACTGTTGCTAAGATAATCGGTTATCAAGAATGAGAAGTGAATTCCTGACTTTTTTTCCGAAATATTCTTCACCAATTTACTTCTTATTCATTGCTCCATCGTGTATCTGTGTCTTGTTTTTTTTTTTTTTTTTTTTTTTTTTTTTTAAATCATGGAATGAAACTTTCCTTTGACACGAAACACCCTCTTTTCAAAACTTGTTTTTTAATACATGAAGCATGTTTGCAAATGCTGTGTAATTGGTTTGCAAGTTGATGAATTGGAATGCCTGCAAAATGATGAAGTGATGAGAAAGTAAGGTGATATTGGAAATTGAAACATCAATTTTTTTTTAGAAAAACCTGAGTTCTTGTTACTAATTTGGATAGCAAAAAATTTTCAGTTCATCTAAAAAACAATTTTTATGAATAAAGCAGTGGATTTTATAAGAATGTGATTTTCAAATATTAGTGTAGCTGTACAGTAAAATAACAATTAATATACTTTAAAGTGCTGAGTCAGAAGTTATCGATGTATGGTTATGTCACTATTTCATAATTATAAGAAATTTAAATCAATTTAATTTAAATCATAAATTAAATTAACAAGGAATGTTCATCACATATGATTATCATGCAACACAAAAAT